GTCACAAGGCATTGAAAGGCATTGAAAATGGTTGAAAATTCTATTAGGTGCACAGAATCCTCCAGCCTTCAGGCGACGCTGCAGGAGAAACACCAAAGTTGCTCTTAAAGAAAAGGATAAGTGAAATCCTTAAACTAGCCAACACCTTTGACAGCAGTCCAAAAACTTTCCTTATTTCTGTGTAAGTGTTGAAGTTACATTTGAATTAACAGGCTTCATTGGATTCTAGACCGCTCCCTAATTTTCTGCCACAAACTTGCTAACCAGGCTAAGTACACAAAAATTGCTCTGTTTACAACTAAGAGAAAATGTAAAGACCCAATTAATAAATCAGAGTATTAATGCAGTATTGAATAATTTCGGTAACAAACACTTAATACGTTTAATACATCATAAAGACTCATTACACACAGACTGATGTTTACAAGCCTTTACTTTTTTAAATTATTATATTTTAATGGTTTAAGTACTGAAATACAACATTTGCTTAGTCTAAACATTAGTTAACCAGACATGTACATAACTGTAAATATTTTTTTTAGATGGGAAAATTAATCAAAACAGATTAAAACGGCTCATAATAATTTATGTGTTCATCATAATTAATTTAGAAAAAGGTTAAAACACGCAGATTTAAATCTTTGCTGCAGTTAAGGAATTTACCGCATACTTTATTTTCAATCATGAGTGTCTTAAACTAGGTGTTAATGCAGGACTGTTAATTCTTCTACCTTAGTTTATGTCACCCTGTTTCGTCTGGTTTTTTTTCTGTCTTCTCGAACCTGCTGTAGATGGTAGCTTTTCCTGAGCCAGGTTCTCACAGAGGTTAACTGAGATCTCTTCTCTCCATTGTCACCACATGTATGCTCAGTATGAGGGATCGTAAAGTTAAAAACACCATGGTATTAAGTGTCTGTTGATACTTAAAGGTTCAGAAGAAGTGATTGCTGATGCAGCACAGATTACTCTAGGAATAATGCATTTTACTAGTTTTTAGGCGTTTTATTTTTTTTTAACAAGATATAATATAAATCTATGTACTTTGAATCTGTTAATAAGACTGGATTGAACTCTTTGGAGGTCTATTTGTTTTTAAATGTCTCTTTTTTCAATCTTTTCGTTGGACTTTGGGCCTAGAGTCCTTCATTAAGTCTAAAAGAATTAATTGACTCCCTATGTCTGCGTATTAACTAGATCATTTTATTGTGTGAAGAGCCTTGGGATAACATTTAGGTTGAAATGGCATCATGTATAAAAACCAAACAGAATTGAATATACTTCCCATAAAAATAAAAAATTCTGCTAAAACCAACATCATCAGTATCATCAGATCAACAACCAAATCTTTTCTTCCATCTATAATCCCTTTTGTTTTAGGGAGGAGATGATGTAATGGGGTGTGTTCACGATGATAACGGACGTGTGAGGATCCACCATTTCTACAATGTCGGCCAGTGGGCCAAGGAGATAAAGAGGAACCCGGCTCGGGATGAAGAAGGAATCTTCGAGAACAACCGGGTTACCTGCCGTTTCAAGCGACCATTATACGTCCCAAGAGAGGAGACGCTGGTGGATTTACATCTATCATGGTATTACCTGTTCGCATGGGGACCTGCTATTCAAGGTGAGTATGAACATATCGGCTTCTCTTTAAAAATAAAATCCTGAATGACACGTTCCTACTGCGCCAACAGGTTCCATCACAAGACATGACATCGACAGTCCTCCAGTCAGTGACCGCATGATCAGCATCTATAAGTATGAAGACATATTTATGCCGTCCACAGCCTATCAGACCTTCAACTCTCCAATCTGTTTACTGCTCATCGTTGCTCTTACCTTTTATTTGCTCATGGGAACACCATAAATAAGCACAGCCAATCACACTGTAGAGGAGGGAGTGAAGAGATGATCATGTAGCAATAAAAATAAGCTGGTTGCCACAATGACATATGCACCTTGAACAGATTAAGACTATTTTAGACGTAGTAAACATTAGACAGTATATGAGGATTGCTCATCTTGAAAAATGAATAAACCACTGCTATAGAGGATAAATGTACTTCAGATATGTAATCAGAGTTTTAACCGTCTTTTTGAACATTCACGACAGCATCTTTGGATTTGGAAGACAGTGTTTACACTTACCACTGAATAAACTGGGAGCCATTTCAGAACCCCACTGTTGGCTGGCGACTCGAGAGAACATTTCCTGGAAAGCAAAGACTAAAGAAAAATGACATGAAAGAGCTTTCCTGCAGTGTTCATGTGGATATGAGCCAACATATCTTCCTCAGCTATGGCCAATGCTTATTTATGAGGTGGAAAAAAAATATTCAAAGGAATATTTTACAGAACTTGGTTTCTCACTCATGTTGTTTTAACCTTTTAAATCTGAATTAAAAATCTTTGAAAATGTTAAAAGGTCTAAAATAATCTGTTACTACAACAAGGAACCTTTAAAGTACAGAGAAGTATGTTCAAGTATAAAATGAAAATACAAACCTTTCTGTTTGAATGATGTGTCCTCTTTCTCCACAGCCTATTCACTGAAACAAAGCTCCCTTGTTTTACTCCTTATTTGGTCTTTCTCAGTAGCGCAAAAAAAAAAAAAATAGGAATGCGCTACATGTGTTGCATAGGGGCACAGTGCTAAAAGGGTGCATCAAACCTTTATTCCTGATCAGCTGTTTCTGGAGTTAACAACTATTTTAATGCTTGTGATGTGATGTGACCAGTAACAGAGGCCCATTACAGAAAATGTGGGGCGCAGGGAATGGAGAAGGATAAAGAAAACTTTTAAAAGAGCTTAAAGACAATAGGTAATTTATGTCAGTCTATCAGAATGGGGCTGTAAATATTAGCAGCAGCCACTGATGGTAAAATGACAAATTACTGTTGTCCTGAAACTGGGAAGACAGGAGACCTCGTTTCCAGAGAAAAAGCAGCAGATTTTAGAGTTGCCCCTGGATTTATTGGTAAAGATAACTACTGTTTTCTGTGAATGAAAGTATTTTTTTTATTTATTTCAGCTTTGTTTTTGATATACTGTGATTAAGTTTTTTTTCTTTTGCGTTAAAGCCCAAACCTACATGGTTTAAATGTCAAGGATCAGTTGCAACAATCTATCTAGTAGCCTAAATCATTTATACCTTAGCAAGATGTGCAATTTTATTTATTAGTATTAAATATTACTTGCATGACTACTTAGCAGAGAGGAACGCTAGTTACTACAAATATTTTTTTTTATGTTTTAAAGTCTTGTAGCCATAAAGGCATTCCACAATGTGAAAAACAAGATCAAGCAACACTACTATGCAAAGGTTCATAGGAACAAGAGGGAGGAAATATGCTAGCAGAAACTTTGAGCTGCTAAATCAGGATTTCAAATAACTGGCTCCAGCGAAGAGCAGATGGTAAAGGGCTGGGTTAGATTCTATAATGTGTATCTGGAGGCAACATTAATGCATGGTGGAGTGTTCTTATAAGTCGGTGGTTTCATAACTGCTTAGAAATACCGAACAAAGAGTCTTAAGTTCCAGAACAAAAAGTCTTACACGTGGGATTACACGAAGAGGCAGAAGAATTTGAAGAACCAGTGGATGTTGTGGATAGGAGTGCAAGATGTTTGCAGCATCCAAACTCCAGAATTATGCAGAAGCTGTGCAAGTGTATCTAGGAAACAAATATGCATTTTTGAGAGCAAAGTATGTATAGGCTACATTATATATTGGTTCGATTTCGTTGTTGTATTTCGTTTACTGATATGAATACAGAATATTGCTCTTTTTATTTTTTTATGTAGGCTACAGTACATGTCTCATCTGGGTTGAATGAGTCCCAGAGGAGTTTGTGGGGAATGTGGTTAGGGCATTGTGCTTGGAGTCTAGAGGTTCTGAGTTCAAACTCCCACGGACTGACACTCTGGCTCTCTGAGCAAGACCCTTAACCCCACACTGCTACCTGGGCACCGCACAATGGCCCTCCCCAAGGTGATGGGTTAAATGCAGAGAGTGCATTTTGTTGCTCTGTAATTGTGACAGTGTAATGACAATAAAAAATAAAAAATAAAAACTAAGAAGGGTTTTCATTTTTGTGTATTATTTTTTATGTGTCCCAAATATTCTGCTGCATGACATTAACTACCAAAGCTTAAGATTATTATATAAAAATGAGAAAATATGCCTCCATAGTTTCTTTCCCGTTAAGAACTACATTCCCCATGCCCCCATTGGCACGGTCGCTGTTTCTACGTCATATGTTGTCCTTCGTCACGCGGCGGAGCCGTTGGACAGTCCACTGGAGCCGCAGCAGTAACATGGCAGATGAAGAGGAGTCGCCGCCGGAGCCCAGCGCCGTCTCTCCTCTGGGCAGCCCTCACACCGGGCGGCCTCTCTCCGTTTCCTTCTCTGAGAGCGTTCAACCGGCCGTCGGGATGATGAGCCAACTGCTAACCCAGCCGTCCTCCCTGAAGTTCGACAAAAACATCAAACAGGCATTTTACAACACCGGTGCTATGATCTTCGTGGCTATCTGCTGCGGGGCGGCGGTGCTGGTTTACTTCATCCTAGAGGCCTTCCTCCGCCCGCTGCTGTGGGCAGTGCTCTGCGGCACCTTCCTCCACCCATTCAAGCACTCCCTGGCTCGGCTGGGCCGTTCATGGCTCAGCGGCCTGCAGGACACCGGGACTCCCATCGTCGTGGGGACCCTACTGGTCCCCGTGTGGTGCGTCAACTACGGGGTGGAGGCGATGGGCAGGCTGGTTCTGAAGAGGCTCACGGTGCTGCTGGTGATCGGCGCCGGGGCGCCACTGGTTTACTTCCTTTACCTGTTCTGGAGTGTCATCGGTATGCAGGTGATCCTCGGACACGTCTGCTGGGTCATCGGCGTCCTGCTGGACTGCTTCCACGCTGTGTGGGTGAGCAGAGTCCTCCCTGTCACAGTTTGAACAAAAAGCCTGTTGTCATTCAGAGTAAACAACCTCAGCTGGGTCTCATGGCTCTAACCAGAGGCGTAGCCAGAACATTTTAATAAGGGTTAGGGTTAGGCAGTAACCAATGTACACTGAGGGGTGGCCGATAGTGGATATAGGTGCCAGAACCTCAGGGTCAATCTACACTGTTGCACAAGGAAAATGAACAATCACAACATCCATATTTTCTAAATAAAGACAAACTTTACTTTCCTGCAGCCTTTGCTAACAAATAGACACATATTTAAATATCCATGCTGTCTAAATTAAAGGTGCAGTGGACAAAATCCTTTCAGTTTTGAATTCTGGGGTGAACATCTTATTCATTGTCATTACTAACCTACTTTTATTAAAAATCCCTCTGCATATGATTTATAGTTACATGTACTAATATCTACATTAGTACATGTAACTTATTAAAGTAGTTATTTATCTCTGATTTCAGTGAAGATTTTCTCTTTACCCCATATAAGACGAGATCTAGTTCTGAAAAAAGCATGAATTCTGTATTTATCTTTAATGTTAGTATATTGATGTGCATAGTTAACCACAGTGTTTTTGTTGGCAGCTAATTGTTTACATATAGAAATTAAAATGTTAAATAAGTTAGAACATTCCACTTGAGAGTTTTACTGCTGCCACCGTCTGTATTAGAGGGAAAAATAGGGGTGGTCACAGGGGTGGCCAATAATTGCATAAGGGTGGTTAATGGCCACCCCTGGCCCCCCTTCTAGCTCTGCCCCTGGCTCTAACTATTCCCAGAAATACTTATGGTATACCCGGTAAGACTTGTAAGCAGCCCTGCCCTGTTACATGTATAATAACACCTATAGGATACTGTAAATAAACTTCAGATCAACCAGACTTACTGATCATCAAAAATGTATTATGATCTTTAATGTCTTAGTGATACAGTTTATTAAATAAAGCAGTGATTTTGTTTTCCAAGAAAACCTGCAATTTGATTTGGTTGTTACCTGATCTAATTTCCTTTATTTCCAGTGTCTGGTTGATTAACATCTTATTATTTCAAAGCAGTCCTCGAGGATGAACCCTGCTTTGCAACAAACAAATCCAACTTCTATGTGCTTTTAAATACAGCATGTACTCATTCTAAAGCTGCTGTTTTGACACCAAGTAATATATTATTTTTGAGATATTTCCCCCCCTTACAGATTTCTGTTGTGTTTTTTTTTTTTAATCTAAATGTTTTGGATTATCAGTATAATCTCAGCGTCACAGAAAACAAAATAAAAAAAATGAGTAAAAACAAAGTAAAGCTTTCAAATCAGGATTTTGTTTATCAGAGGAAAAAAAAGCATAATTCTATATATGTGGATTCACAGACACACCAGAATTGAGCTTGTCTCACTTCAGCTGTTCAAGACTGACCCAAAACAGGTTGACCAATCATGTAACAGTATTAAGGTTTAAGGCAGGTGATATAGCTGTGAGAGAGAAAAAAACAAAACAAAATTAAAGCTGCAAGCAGATTGGGCGGCACATGCAGCTCAGTACCTCTCAGCCTAGGACCCACGCACCACTGTCTCCATGCCTAAATCCCACCCTTCTAACAGCAGTTCTAGCCATTTCATATTCCATAGGAACAAACCTGGTTCTATATGAACAAAGTATTCACCTCCTTTTGTTTAGTCATAAATTAAAGCTACTAGGGCTGCAACTAACGATCATTTTGACAATTGATTAATTGGTTGATTATTTTTTTGATTAATCAATTAACTAGGGCAAAAAGATTCTCGAATAAGTTTTTTTTTTTTTTACAGAACTATGTAAAACTAAAACATTTCAATTTGAGGAGAGCTGGATTGAGGATATTGATGGATTAAAAAAGGTTTATATTAAATCTAAAACATTTATATATATATATATATATATTTTTTTTTTTTACAATTCTGGTATACTTACTAAATCCAGTTGTTCGATCAAATAAAGGCATGTTTTAGAGTCTATATTCCAGTTAATGATTAACTGATCAACAAATTAATTGACAGTTTTCAATATTCAATTAATCCAATTAATTCATCCCTAAAACCAAAGCTGTGTAACTCTTGTCTCTTCATTTAGGTGTCATATGTTTTGTTGCCTAACAGCAAGTTATGGGAGCTCTGACTTCCATATACTGTAGTGGCGCTCTAGGATCTAATGACCTATTCAGCAACAGATCTGACCCAAGTAACATAGCTTGCTATCAATCAAATTACTTGGGAGACACCAACCACTCATCCAGGTCAGGGGAAAAGCCCTGCAGCCTTCAGGTAGAGTCAGTGTTTAAAATTCAGCAAAATGAAAGAGAAGGAGCAAAAATAGTATCTGCTTTGGAGTTCTAAACCACAGCTTGTTTTGAAACAATCAAATTAATTAAACACATATAAATCATTAGAATGATACATTTTGATGAAAATAATGGTTGTTGTGAAAGAAAATTACCAAAAAACTTACAGAGAACCTAAAAGAATACACAAAAAATGGGACAGGAACCCTTAAAATGCCTCCATTGTTTTATTATTCTGTATTCCTCTTACTCTTTAGGTGTGCAGTGTAGTGTTTGGCTACTTGCTGGCCGTCTGTTTCAAGTGGAGTCCCCAAACTGAGGGATACCTGAGGGCTCTGGCTCTTCCTGTTTGGGCTGCACTAGTCTTCTACATTGGTGAGTCAGGACCTGTTTAGGCATATATTCTTGTGCATTTCTTTAAACGGCTTCCTTTTTTTTTTTTACGTGGGTGTGTAAGTTTGATCTCACTTTTTTTACTTGAGTGCAAGAGGCAGAAGAGAATATCTTGTCCCCACATGTCCTCTGGGCTGAGCACGTGCAGAATCACCAGTAAGATGAGGAAGTCAGGCTTTATTTATAGCTCACTTTTAAGGGATGCTAAAAAAAGTAATGTTGACCTTCAGGCGTGAAATATTAAAAGTGGTGCTAGCTCTCTAGAAGTACTAGCGAAGCAAACCACATCGTTATTGTGATGCTTACATAAATTTCATTTTAAAATGGTTTTCCTTCTATGATAAAGCAAAGAGCTGCTAAAAGGTCACCCGTTCTTATCAAGATCCTGACTTAGACAGTCTGCAACAGATAAAGGAGCAGGTTTTTCCATTTGTGAGGAAGAAGCCATGTCCCCACTTACATTTTTCTGTCATGTTTAGTGTCTCTCACCGGCTCGTGGAGGGTGCCAATATTCATGGTGGTGGTGGCGCTCCTCATTGTCGGCTCCCAGGAAAAACCTCCTGTTCAAGGAAAAGGTAAAACCTTGTGAACTCAAATAAACACCATATATGGTGAAACAAAAAGGAAGGAGAACCATTCAATGTGTTGCAACATAGAAAGTGTTTACTGATGACCATTAGATCATTATTTTTTTCTCTTTTCAGCTCATATAAACTCCTTTTCTTTGCTTAATAATCACATTAGTGTTAATAATTAAAGTTATAAATATTTCCTGAAACGATTAAACCAGCTTGTGAATGATATTTTGATGAGAATCTCTTTTTCTTGCTTTGCTCCTTGTAACAATGGAAAAGACTGATCCTCAAAATGTTTATGAATTTTGTCTTTCTGGTGTGTCAGATGCAGCCAGTACTCAAATGAGGTTGCAGTAGTTATATACTTATGAGGATGAGTGGTAACAAATCAAAAGGAGACAGTTTTAGTATTTGACTACAGTGAGGATTGTACTGTCCTATTTAAAGATGCACAAAATATTCAGTTTTTACTTGCTTTCAAAGCCATTTTCTCCCACCTTAGGAGAGCTGCCAGGACAGATGCTCTCATTGGCTGCAAACACCATTTACATGGCCATTTCCTGCAGCAACTTGCAGCCAAAAACAGAGCCCAGCGAGACTTCCAGCACAGGTAATTATTCTTTGTCGTCTTATATTGGAAAGAAATAATTGGTAGACTTAGGATATTTTAGGAGTGAAAGCAATTACTGTAGCTATTATGAACGACCCTGCCCTACCATAGCTAACAGTCAGCATTATTCTGACAAGGAGCTTGTATTGCTGTGAACTTCATAAATTCACAAACTAGAGCTCGCTGGTTGAATGCCAAACGTCTGAAGGCCGACATTTTAAAGTCATTTCAAAGATCATGTATTGGATTTATCTCTGGATTTGAGCTAACTTTTTCTGACATACAGATCGTAACCTAAATATCTTGAATTTCTTTTCCTGTATGTTTATTCTGTTGTCCTGTTGGAAGGTCAACCTTGATCCCAGTCTCAGTTTGTTCTCAGTATCTAACAAGCTTACTAGCCGCGTTCTATTGAACCTTTCTCTCCATTAACTCTGACCAGTTTAAGGCTGATGCCGCTAGATGTCATGGTGATAATGTTCAGTGTTACTCTACTCAGTACCATAGAGTTTTCTGGAACATACTGTCAACAGGTGGTCCAACCCAAACATTTCTGGGATACCATGCACCTGTTGGAAGCTTTTTTTGATTATCCGATTAAAGCTATCCTAGAATGGCTTGACAGTTTTAGTTGCCTGCCATTATTTAATAGCTTTGTAGTTCTGCCTACTCTGATTGTTTGTAAATGAAGGATTAAACCTGCTTTGTGAGCTGTTAAAAGCTTGAGATTTTATGTTGTGCCCTAATCTTGCTCAAAGCTGAACTCTGTTTACTAATCAGGGGACTTTGATTGTAATTAGTTGCATTGGATTTTATTGATGATATCAGAGTAAAGTTGGTTTGAATCTTTTTTTTGCTTCCTCTTTCTTTCACTTTACAGTTCTGCACTTCTTTGTGCTGCTCTGTCATATCAAATCACAGTAGTTGGACATTGGGGATTCTAACAAAATATGAAAATGTTTTTTTTCTGCATTGGGTTTGTTTGTTTGTACATGTTTGTGGTCCATCAGGAGGTCCCCTGCCTTCAACCCCAGGCATCCCTCACCCCTTCAAGGGCAGTCTCCAGCTGAAAGAGAAAAGCAGTCGGAAAGCCAGCGACATTTACTTCATCTTGCTGGTCTGGGCCATCGTTCTGGTCCAGATGTGGCTAAACTTCTGGATCCTACAGCTGCTTCCTATCCCTGTGGCTGGTAACACGCACACTCTAATTGAATCACTTTCAAGTGACAAACGTCCACTGTAGTTACCTTTGCCACCTTGGTGCTTCAGTTTGGATGTTGAAGAAGCTGGTCGTCCACTTTGGTGTGAAGAGCTTTGCAGAGCGGACCCTGAGCTCATGGTGGACCTTGTTGGAGAAGTTTGTACGGGAACGCGAAGAGGCCTTGTTGCCTGGGCCAATTAAAGGCCTCGCTCAGTTCCTGCTGCGCATCGACACCAAGGTAAGGCATCCTGGCAGTCTGTAGTTATTTTTTTGCTGTCTTTTTTTCCATCCTTTCTGTTATTATCAAACAAACACACATTGATTAAATGTTAGTAAATATTTAGTTTCTTTTGTACTGTTTATTGCCACTTTCCCCACTGATAGTCCTCAGTGGACGAATGAATCAGAAATGTGCTGGATAAGTGCACAAAGGTTACAGTAGTATTCAAAACCCCTGTTCTAATATTGAAGCTTTGTGTCAATTGTTGATTGTCTTGCCAAATGTTTCACAAAACCACTTGTTAAAACCCTCATCATAGAAAAGTCAGCTATGAGTAATAAGAAATTATTAAGAAGTGTGATTCTCCAAAACTGTCTTCTTCAGTTTTCAGGAAAGTCTTTTTGAAATTAAAATCTTCAAAACATAGGAGGCCAGTCCATTGCCAGGCACTCAAGGATGAAATTGTACATTTTGCAGTTATTTTCATTTTCCTTTACTATATATGACCATTCTCTTTCTTTAAGACTAAAATATTGGTTTATCTAGAAATATAGAAAAGTTGATTTAAGGAAACCAGATAAAGCATTTGAAATTAATTATAGTATAAAAAATATTGGGCCTCATGCAAGAACCGTTCATGCAAACAACTTTGTTTTTAAATCATTCTTACAAGTGATTTAGGAGAAACTGTTGCATTCACCATTTTTCTCCTATTTCTAAACTTCTCTTTGGTACCAACACATTTTAAAAGTGCTCCAGACATGACCTAGAAGTCTTGCACAATCAGTCAGCTGTTATACAAACTTAGTTTTTTTTAGGCACAGGTGGACTGCATCATTTACTGAAGTTAAGGATGTTTGTTGAATCTGACTTGTTGCATTCATAAAAGCCCACGGTAGGAGAAAAGTAAGAAGAAATTACGACAGGAATACAAAAATCTTGTTGCATGAGCCCCATTATCTCCAAATTAAGATTTCAGAGTCTTATGCTGATTGAAGCGTTTGCTGACAAGTCAAATTCTTCATCGAAGTCATTGTCCTGTATATGCTTTGAAAATCTGTAGCTTTTAGGCACAGTAAAAACACATTTCAAAATGATAACTTACAAATAAACCATTAAAGGAGATTTTTTTTTTAGCACTGTAAAGGGTTAGAAATAAATACTCTGACATTGTTAAATAAGCTGAATACCTTTTGCCAAGTCTGTAGTACTTAGTTTTGCAAGCATTCATTCAAAAAGGGGCCATGATCTAAAAACCTGGTTAAGTAATAAAAAGCCACCTGACTAGTTTGTGTTGTTGCAATGTGGTTACATAGAGACAGAGAATACCTTAACACAGATAATTTAGCTCAGTCTGGGAACTTTTTACCACTTAAATAAGGATAGAGGCTTGAGTTAGATAAAAAAAAAAAAAAAAACTAGAATGACTCAAAAACCTTGGTTAAGACCACTGATATTTATCTTTAATGTAACCAGTCACATTCAGGGTGTACTAAAGAGCTTACTTTGATTCAAAATGGGTTTTGTCACTCTTATTAATGTATCAGGTGTAAAGTAGATTCACATTGATAACTCTAAGCTCCGTGGAGTTTTGTAGTCATGGATTTGCTGTTATCACTCCATTTCAAAACCTTATAGAAGTCATTTTCAGGAGCAGCTGCTGTGGAAAGTTTTAAAACACCAACTGGACGAAGCATTCGGCACCAACCGGAGGAGGATAGTGAAGTTATATCTAAAAATAGAGCTTAATGGAGAGCAAAGGCCAGATGAATGCTGATTAAATATGTTTCTTTGAACTGTCAAACTTGTATTATTGGTACTATTTGTTATCAGCATTACAAACTAAGCCAAACTATATGGAAATAGAACATATAGATGTTTTATTGCATTTCATTGTTGTCCTAATTGATACTTATTTAAAGTTTTTTATTTTCTATAAAGTTGGATGCAGTTGTGTGTCAGCAGCCTTTCCTCAGACCACTGCAGTCTCTTTGTACATCCAATAATAAGATCCTGCCTGCCGCAGTGTTTCCTCTCAGTGTTTGTACCCAAATGGAGAATTTCTTCCTGTCTTATGGGGGGCATGTTGCACAGACCTCTCCAATAACAATCTTCCCAATGTCTCTTTGTCTTCTCCCTAAGCTCTGGCATTGGCTTAACAAGCAGGTAAACAAGCGCCTGTGTGTGAGAGAACACAAGGGTGAAGAATTAACCTCCATCTACATGTGGGTGTGTGTGAAGGCGTGAGCACACCTGTTAGCTGCTTGGACTGGCTTCCTTTTGTTTATCCTGCTCCATCCACTGTCATATCCCTCTCATCTCTGCCTCTTGTCTCGCTGCTCTCCTGCTTCCTGTTTTTTTTTTTTTTTTTTTACTTTGGCAGGAAGCTGCTGCAGGGAGGAGGAGGTGGTGGTACTTGTTGCCCCCCCCACTGCACCCCTGATTCCCCCCCTTCTGTATCTTTCCTGCTTTGATCCTGCTGGCAGATTTGTTTTGAGACTGTGTGAGCAGCATGGAGAGATGGCTGATGTAAAAAGAGCAGCCAAGAGTGGGAGGAGAGGAGTGTTTTTGAAATGCAGGTTCAGAGAATAGTAATGGGGACACAGAGCAGCTTTGGTTAATATTTACACAAATATTCAGTCCAAATAGTTTTAAAACATTATAAGATGTTCTCTTTTTTAAATTAGATGGATTGCTTGCTATGTAGTTAAAAAACAAAAGGATGTTCAGGTCTAATTAATTCATCATATTGAAGTGTTGCAAATGTTTTATGTAAATTACTACCAATTTTATGATTATTTTTTGTTTTGTCTTCCAATAATCACAAACTAATCTTCATAAAAGAAATTCCAATTGATGCCTGATAAAGCAGCTCCACATTTCCCACTTAAGCTGCACCGTCATAAAAGATGTGTGGAGCTTTTAAGAGAAAACATTGAATACAACTTCTTAATCTCACACTGAAAACATTTAGAAGAATCAGTTTTTTCCCCCAAACATTTATTCAGTGAGCAAGAAAAAAAAAAATCCCAATTATGAAATAATTGTTTCCCTCCCAAATCAACAGTGATATACTTTATAACCCCCCCTCATTTATCTCAACTAGCAGCTGACCTGTGGTTTTTCTGTAGGGTTTAGGTTTCAGGACGACTTTACAGAAACTGATTCTAGCCTCTGAAATTTTTTTTTTTAAGCGGCTTAGTTAGAGTGGATCAGAATCGTATAATTGATGTTAAGCATTCGAACAAAGTTAGCAGAGGACGAAAAACATCACCACAGCATCTGTGTCTGTTTCTGAAATCCTCAGTCAGTCTTATCCAACTGAAACACACAGAACCAGCAACATAGAGTAAACTCGGCATCTGTACATTTGTTCTACTAAGTCAAGAAACTCTTTAAACAGGCGTCTCTCCCAAACAATCAGTGGCATCCAGATCAAGTCTGCTGGGTGTCATCAGCACCTAGTGACCCAGATATGCTGATCTCCTTTAACCATACACTCCTGACTTACAAAGATCAACCCAGATCTGCCCTATTCTCAATAAAATCATATTCCCTCATGTTTCCCATTTCGAAGAGTAGCTAAAAGAAATGTGCCTCTTTATCAGATCATAATTAAATATAGAGAAACAATCAAGTCATCCCTTGATAGTTTGAGTAAAGGAGAAATGTAATTTTAAAGCCTGCTTTATCCATGTTTATATTATGGAATTTGTCTGTAAATGTTCTGATAGACTTTCTGAATTTGTCAGTGTGAGATTTTGTCACTGCAGGGAAATATATAACATAAGAACGGACTTTGAATCAGAATCCAAATCAAGTTTATTGTTTTATTAAGTAGGTTTGCACTTACAAGGAATTTGACTTGGTGTAGATGATGCAGATAAATTATATATATATATATATATATATATATATATNGTACAGAATACAGAATTTGAAGTTACCGTATATACAATATACACAATATTATTATTATGATTGGACTATGATTGTGGTCCAATTTGGTCCAGTTGTTATGTTCTCATGTCAGCGTCAGATCTTTATTGAAAAAGATGATTTCTCTGAATGAAGGAAATTGCGTTAGATTTATATGTGACCACAGTGAACTCAAAGTGCCTTCTTTGAGCTCAGAGAGGAACTCTACTGAAATAAACCCAATAAAGAATAAAATTATATCGAAACCCTGATATTGACTTTTTTTTTATTAATAAAGCTTTAGTTCATTTGTATTCTTATTCGTTTTGGCCTGATGTACATTCATTGTAGTGAGTTGGTTAATCTACTCATGAAAGTGACCTTAAACCTGCAGCTGCCATGCAGCAGCTGCTGCACTCACTGCCACATCATAACCTCTCATGTCATATTAATGCACTGATGCTTTAGGTCACCTGCTAACAGCTCCTCCAGCCTTTCACTGGGGACTCAAAAAAATCCAATGCTTTATGAGAAGGAAGATCTGATGGAAAACACTGAGAAACCTGAGTTAATAATCCCCACAAAAAACAATGAGTAAATTAGTTGTAAATCGTTTCTTTACCCAAATGTGCTGTGATGTGTTCAGTATTTTGTATGTAAAATAATCAGGAGAATGAGACAGTTACTTTGCTTTTTTAGGAAAGATTGCAAAACAAATAAGAAACCTGTGAGATTTGGATTTCTTGAGGTAATGAAACAAGAAAAATAAAAAGCCAAAAAAATATATTTTCCATTTGCAATCTAATTTTAGTGTCTCTATACAGTCTGGGTGCTCTCCTGAAAGATCAATGCATTTCTGGACTTTAAAAAGGAATAACATGGCTGATAAAATGTGGCTGAGCCAATTTTTTTCAAAACAGCATCAGCTGTAGACACACATTCTCAGTTTAATATTGCATATGAAGAACATTCATGTCGGGGTTCAGACCTGCTCACTCAGCCACCTTCTATCTCTGGGCTTTAGATGGGATCCTTTAAAACCAAAGTGGTTTTTCGTGACATGGGGGAGGGGACCCAGGTTTCTCCATGTGTCTTATATTTGTGGATTTAAAATCCTCCAGAAATGTCCTAAAGTATCTTCTCTGCTTTTCCATCTCTTCTCTCTTTCCTTTGTTTGTCTCTTTTTCTATAAACGCTCAGATGATTGTGTGGTTGGAGAGATCGCTGGATAAAATCATCAGCATCTTTATCATCTTCCTCCTGGTTACAGGGACCCTGCTCATGGCTCTTCTGCTCACTGCTATGGTCAGTTTTCTTTTGTTTATCTCACTCGCCGTTGCATCAACTGTAACCTGGATACACAAGCAGCTTCTCTCTCCTTAGGTTCATCAGGAAAGTGCTCACATTATCGAGGTAACCAGCAACCTCATCAACGAGACTCTTTCCAATCATCCAGAATGGGCCAAGTAGGTTTTTGTTCATCCATCTTGTTTGTGAAACAGCAACATGCGTATTTTCTCTTCACATATTCATCTATTTATCTAGTTGGCTTCCAGAAGCTCGTGTCGTGCAGAAAGCTCTGAATTCAGCTGCTACCAATGTTTACCAGCATGGGAGGGAATGGATAACACAGAAGGTAAGCAATTAACGATAAATGTAAAAACTGAAGGCTGGAGCACAATAAGAACTTTAACTTTGTGTGCAGCTTCATAAGATGTTGGGAGATAAGGTGAACAACACAGCGGTGATTGAGAAGCAGGTTCTGGAGCTTTGGGACCGACTGTACCATTCGTGGTTTGTGAAGGTGGGGGGACACTAATCGCCTCTCATATATTTATTTTCTGTATTCTGGATTTGCATCTGAAATATGATTCCTACATTGCTGCAGAATGTGACCCACTCTGGGCGACACCGTGGGAACAAGATGGCGTATCAGAGACAGAACAGCTGGTTAGGGGACATCCTGGACTGGAAGGACATCGCTTCTTTTCTGCAGGAGAACATTGAGACTCTGCTGTCTGTGAGTGTAGAAATCTGAGAAATAGAATACATACAGAATACATTTAGTTCTACATATTATTAATCTGGGGCTACTCTAATTGAAACTGTTCAGAGAAAGGAGGGACGTTGAGTAGAACCTTACAAGCTGATTGGTTAAAGCAAAACCTAGTGCCTGGTCATTGTAACAAATGAAAAGGTTTGAAGTAGCAGATGACATGAGGAACCACAAGAACTTACACTTTTGCACTCTTGCTGTCCCTCTTTCTTAGATAAAAATGTAGATTCTCCCTAAACAGATGTGTTTGCAGTAGCTACTCATCCTCCTAAGCTGTAATGGGTATTTTGGTCCGGCTGTTGGCTGTGCAGCTCATTTACTTCACATCTCTACGTCCTGCCTTAAACCATAATACTGCAATATGATTGGCTGACGTGAGAAAGTCCCTCATGTCCACTGTTAAAGTCGTAGGGAAATCATATTTAAATGTGAAATCATTCTGGCTTAAACATGTATATAGATGTACTCTTTATCAGACCATATTGTCCCAAAGGTTAGAACTTTTCTATTTATAAAAAAAAAAAATCCTGCCTTAAAATCTGTTGTGTGTTTTTTTTTTTTTTTATTATTTTATGCAGACCAGTTAGTTTTATGTCAGCTTTACACCTAAATTCAGCCAATCATAAATAAAAGGTCATCTGTCAATTTTTTTCTGTCATAGCATCTTGATTCATATGTTGCAGCCAATATTTGCAATGGTTGAAATAAGAATTAATCACTTTCCCATTGAGTTCCATCCCAGTGTTCAGGGGGATGGACGCCTGTGTCTTCTGCAGGCGTAGAGCTAACGGAACTGGCAGCGTTGCGAGGCAAGGGCTCGAACATGTACGGCTGGAAGCCTTCAACACCAAACCAAGCTTCTGCCGCCCTGGCGTCCTCTTCCACAACATCTTCGTCCCCATTTTTCTCCTCTAAATAAAAATGTATGAGACTCATCCATGACCTCCGACACAAAACTCTCCTCCTCTCGCATGTTTGCTAAGTGCTACCTGGTCCCAATGTGATTTCCCATTGGGAACCTACAAGCACTAAGTTGCTAACTGGTTAGCAAGAGGCTTATGAGAATCTGGCCACAATCAAACTCGCTTGCAAATCTTCCGCCACAACAATCCCGCCCCCTAAACGGCCAATCACATTCACTTTATTCCCTCGTGTAAAGTCGTGCACCACTCGGGAGAATTTGGAAATGCAACTGTTTGAGCAGCCGCTTCCCTACGACTTTAAGTGTGGTGAAGGGCCATGATGTTGAAATACCGGACCATTATAAGAATGTGTTTTTCAAAGCTTTATTCTAACAATGACTGTTTGGAAAGGCAGTTTTTCTCTGGATGTTGATGTGTTCACCTTGTTATTGTTTTGTAGATCTTGGAGTCTCTGTGGGTGGTAATGAGCAGGAATGTTGGCCTCCTGATCTCCACCACCACCACTCTCCTCACAGTGTTGTTCCACAGTGGCACGGCTCTACTGAACTTCGCACTGAGTCTGGTATGAATCACTGGATAAACTATCTGCAAAAGGCACAGGGGAACCGTTTCTCTGATTTACTGCCAGATGTTGATGGCTGAAGAGCTGTTAAATTCAGCTGAAACATTTCAGATCCTCTTTATAATCAGACCTTATCTGTCATATTCTGAAAGATTCTAAATGAATATGTTATAATCATAAAATTATTTGCAACAGCTCTTAGTGTTAAGCTGATTTTCTTTTCCATTGTGTGAGCGTGCTCTAGTGATGAACTCCTCTCAGACCCTGGTTGTGCTGCTTTGTGTTCATGTAGGTGATTTTCCTCACCACCCTGTTCTATCTGCTGAGCTCCAGCGGTGAATACTACAAACCTGTCAAATGGGTCATCAACCTGACACCCCTCTCTCAGCCCGGACCCTCCTCCAACATCATTGGCCAGTCTGTGGAGGAGGCCATCAGGTAATAAAATGCACCATGGCTACAAAAATGAATAACGGCTCACTTCATATGGATTATTGTCTGTCTGTGTGCTTTAAAGAGGAGTGTTTGATGCCTCCCTGAAAATGGCAGGCTTCTACGGCCTCTACACTTGGCTCACCCACACCATCTTTGGCATCAACATCGTCTTCATTCCTTCCGGTGAGTGTGTGTATGTGTGGCTGTAGCAGATTTGCAGTGTTATTAAATCCTGTGCTGAACGGCTCATTCTTCCCTGGCCTGAAGCTCTGGCTGCCATCCTGGGTGCTGTGCCATTTCTGGGGACCTACTGGGCGGCCGTGCCGGCTGTGTGTGACCTGTGGCTGGCACAGGGGGAAGGCGTCAAGGCTGTGCTGCTGCTCATCTGCCATCTACTCCCGACATATTTTGTGGACACGGCCATCTATTCTGATATATCAGGGTACATATGCATAAAGATTTGTCAAACAAATTTTAGCAGGATGTGTCTGACTGGGTGTATTGTTCACCGGACCCGGACTGGCCTCATAAAATGAAACACTTCAGCAGGTGTCTCTGCTTTCTGTCCATCTCTGCTTGACGGAGACAAAAGTATTAAGACCTTAAGACTTATTCTGGTTTGTCAAAACTGACCCAAAACCTAATGGTCGTTTGGGGTTTTTAATGGGTCAGACCATACCTAAGTAGTGCCTTAGTGGAGGGAAATTATACATGATTTTTATGTTTTATAAATAAAACCCTAAATAAATATGATATTGATTTATATTTAGCCCATTCTATATTCTAATACTCCTAAATAAAATCTAGTTCAACTAATGAAGTCCAAAAGTCACATAATTAGTAAAAACGGTCCACCTGGGTGTAAATTAATCCCAATATGTATCTAGCTAATCTGATTTTAGTTTGAAATGTTTATTAGGAGATTAGAGAACAAGCAGCCTGATGAAGACCAAAGTGCAGACAACACAGGTTGCAAAGCAAACCTCCAAGCTTTCATCCCTGTAATACAGCAGAATATTAATCATTGTTTCTGTTTCTCAGAGGGGGGCATCCATACCTCACAGGCCTTGCGGTTGCAGGTGGGGCGTACTATCTTGGCCTGGAGGGGGCGATCATTGGGCCCATCCTCCTCTGCATCCTGGTGGTGGCAGCAAACATCTATAGCGCCATGCTGATGAGTCCAAGCTCTGCACTACCTACACCAGTTCAGCCCAGTTGGCCCACACACCCAATGAGGTACACACTCACACTCATCCATGTCTGATGAAATTATTAATCCAGGGCGGTCAAATTCAAACACACCTGAATCAAATGGATTTATTACCTCCTCAGCATTCAGTAGAGTCCAGTCCCAACTATGCGTGTTCCTGCTGATAGATAGGAGTGCGTAGTGTGTCCCAATTGTCCAGCGCAGTATTTCGCCGAGCCTTCCATGCATCTGTGGTCTTGATTTCAGCTAGCATTAATATATTGAGTCTTTTCTAATACAAAAAAATATATATATTTATAATTTAAAATGTAAATTCAATAATTATTTATGAATAAGGATGTGATATAGAAAAAAAACATTTATGAACAGTAATTCTCAGTTGTACCCACTTTAAATCTATTAAATGGCTAATTCCTCGACAGCTAAAGAAACCCAGTCTGAAATACCTTAGTAAATAATCGCTGGTTTTCAATTTATAACTTATTTATATGTTATTTGTAGCAGATGTCTATGGATTTTGTCAAACTAAAGGGCAAACAGTTGACCATATATTTTTCCTGTGTATTCTAAATAATGCTGGTCTGGCCCAATTACACTGCATTTACACTCTGGACTATTAAATGAGAAACTATCATATCTCTACAAATTGAAAGGAATCAATCTGTCCTTTATCTGTTTTATTTAATGACTTCCCTATCAAAACATTGAAACCATCAACACAGGGTCCCTGCAGGTCATTAAAAGTCATTAAATTATTATTTTTTAAATTAATTATTACATTTATAAAAACAATTTCGTCAGATATACCAGATATAACTGCTTTCGTGTTTTTGCAAGGAGAAAAAGCTAGAGAATGGGGAAAATGCAAATTTCAACAAAAGTGGCTGAAAAACGAGGAATTCGGTTTCCAGCCGTGTTGAGATATATATATATATATATATATATATATATATATATATATATATATAAAATGAGACATGGGTACTTGTTGAAGGCATAAAAAATTTTTCTAAGTCCATTAAAAGCATTAAATTAGAGTTACTCGTTTCTGTATAAACCCTGCAACAAAAACTACAATGAAAATATAGAATATGTTCAAATACTTATTTCAGAATTGATTTATTTTAAAGGTCTGAAATTATTCTCCATTTAAAAATAAAAACTCTTAATTCCTGCTCATGTTCCCCTGCTTTAAATTGGTAGATTTGGCTTTA